TTTCTGAGTTACCTGACCTCCGCTCCAGTACTTCCTGGTTTGGCTGAAAAACGAAGCTGAGGGTGGAGCTGGTTCAAATGCAGAAGCCAATAAAATGGACTGGACCATCTATTGTGATCATGCAGGGGGAATGGGGTTCTTCTTGAATGATGGTTAGCTGTTATCTCTTTAGTTTTCACCTTTGGTGTATATAATGGTTTATTCATTTGCTATATAACTGGAGCTGTTTCTCATTTGGGCAGGTCAGTTTGTTGAGTTATGTTTTTGTTAAGTGACTTTTGAGTAGCGGTCTGTTAAGTTAACCTCTTTTATGGGCCCACTTGGTTCTTAAAAACTTTATTTTTGTTATTTTGAATTTTTGTAATCATCTTGTCCCATTTTTTTGAAGATTACATTTGTGCCTGTGTGTTCCTGGCTGCTTGGATCATGACAGAAAGGAATAGATAGGAATGAGGATAAGAAAGGGAAAAGAAAAAAACACGAACATGAGCAGCGGTTCAGAATTTCTAGCAGCAGCTCGTTGATAGCATCACCTCCATCCTCATACTCACAGACATTTCTGAGGTCATTTAACTGCAGCTTTAATGAAACTTGGTGCCATCAACAGATTACATCATGGTAGAAGTTCTTGACCAACCAATTAGCATTAATTTGCAGAATGAGCATCGATATCTTTAAAGTTCTGACACATTAATAATGTTTGTGCAAAAAAAGAGAAATAAACAGAAGCAGGTGCAAACAACTATTTTAGCTGTTAGGAGAGCAGAGCTGTTTACGCTACCACAGTGTGCGCTGTCCGTGAAAGCAGCCATGCGACGCATTCTGGCAGCGGCACAGCGATGAGCTGACGACTCCACGCGTGTCCCAAAAAACCAAAACAAAACCAGAGGACAGAGCAGCTTTCTCAGCTTAGATGAACTGTTTGTGTGATATCAGAGAAACTTAGGGAACGAGTCGGCATGCACAGAGAAAAGTTTCACCTGATCGGGTAATCCTCGCTGTTTTAGGAGAATGAGGAGACAAAGAGCCCCTGTCAGTGAATCACCCATCCAATGCTAAGCACCGAGTCAGTCCTTATGGACACAAGCTGACGATGAGTGACTTGCACGAGGATGGCAAAACAGAGAGAGACAGATGGATGGTGCTTTCAGTGTGTGGGCACGCTGTTGTTCTAAAACGATGGGACGCTGTAGTCTGGTTCGCTGATTTGGCCACTTCTCATCAGTCAGTGGTTTTGACATACAGCTTATGGAAGCAATTAAAATAATTAGCTACCCAAATTCACAGCCCCTCCTCACAGTGATGACCGAGTTGAATCAGAACGCGGCTTTGAACGAGTTGACACATTTTTCCCCAGACAGGAACTGGTGAGAAAGAAGTCGTCATACTTTAAACCCCGCCTTCCTGGTGCCCTGCTCTGTTATGCTTCTCCCTATTCTCCCCTGAATAGATATGCAATGAGGCGAGAGATGGAGCTTGCAAACACATACTGTAACATGCAAACTTCAGCTCCAGCCGGCTGCGTCTGCTGGATGAATTATGTACATGTGTCTGCGGATGACAATGAAGCGCATCTGTGCCTAGAAAAACGCAAATTTTACACAATTCCTAAAGTCCTTCAAATTAAAAAAGCAACAAAGAAAAATTTGCCGGTCCGCACTTTAGACCATGACTAAGAAGACATTTTTTGAGGCATGATCTGATTGCAGTCATAACATGTTCCTGGTCACAAGAAGTCCTCACTAAGGGTCGGGGCTGAGTGGAGGCAGAAGGTTTTGTCCTCAACCTAAATCTTGAAAGTATATACAGTGCAAGCACAAAACATTATTCCAGTTGAAATACATTTATTTTTATTTCTAATAAGGGAAAGTGGCTAAAGGGCGTTTGTGGTTAGAAACCAGTCTTGACTGTCTGAGAAAAATCACCTGGCTTTAAATGGCCATCCACCTGTCACGCTGCTCTTGCACGAGTCATAATTCTTCTGGTTACCAATAGATGGCCTTTTCACTTGAAAATATAATATCTGACTGCATCCATGAATCATCTCTGAGGTCTTCCTCTTTTCCTCCTTCCTGGTAGCTCCAGCTTCACCATCCTTTCACCGACATATCCACTCTCCCTCCTCTGCACGTCCAAACCATCTCGCCTTGCTTCTCAATCCCTAACCCTCGTCCCAAACTGCTCAAGCTGTCCCTCTCATGGACTCATTTCTAATCCTGTCCATCCTTCTCACTCGCAAGGAAAACCTTTACATCGTCAGCTCTGCCCCCTCCTGTCTTTTTGTCAGTGTCTCCAAACCCTACATCAAAGCAGCTCTTAATCTCTGATTGTGTCAAACGATCTGATCAAAGAGTCCTGCCCTGTCTCCCAGATATCTCCATGCTTCCACAGCTACATCATCTGGACCAGCTGCCTCTCCACATATTTGATGTTTGTCACAAACAGTTTTTTAATGAATTCAAAATGATTTTCTTTCTTAAAATCTCATCTGCTGAAAGTAAACATTAAAGACTAAAAATAATCCCCCAGCTTTCTCCTGTCCACGCTTGTTACTGTGTGCATCTGTCAGGAGAGACTGCTGTGTGTCTACAGAAGCACCGTGCTAATCCTTCTGTTCCTGTTCTTCCATAGCTGTGACAGGCAGGAGAAAGTATTAAGGCCCCACCGTTGGAGACTGAGCATCAATCTATTGACGGATGCAAATGTAATCACTCTTATTAGTGCACGTGCACAGAAAAAAAACGAGCTTTCCCTCCGCAGCACAGACACGCTCGCAGCACATGCACGCACACATCAGTGTGTGCCATTGTCTGTCTCGGGGAGTTTTTAAACAGCAGCTTAAAAGCCCTGTGGCTGGTTCACAGTGTGATAATGGCTCCTATCTAGAAATGTCCTGTTCCTGTAAGGCGGTCATCATTCTCATCAATTACCTCCTCTGAGCTCTCACACACTCCTGTGGAAACACATACACTGTGAGTCGGAGCGCTCAGCCGGTGTTTCCGTTTGTTCTCAGCGTCTGTGCCTGCTATTCCACGGCTCCTTGATCTCAACTTTTTCCGCTTGTTTGGATTTCGTGTCGACCTTGATCCTTCTCATTTGCTTTACTCATGTCAAGTTGTCTGTGATTCTTTGTCTCATCTTTTTCTGTTCCGTCAGACTTGAAGGGGGGGGATGCATGCCTCGCTACACGGTTTGAATTTTCAACCTACTTAAGGTTTGTGTTTGATTTACCTCACTAGACATTTTGTGGGCTTCAGAACTGGGCCAACTATTGCATTCATTACCATGTCCTCATGCTTTTGCATACCTGGAAAGGGAAAGAAAACTTCCTGAGCTAGTATTCAACTGGCACCTAATATCATCCCCTGACCTCTCTTCTCCTACCTTCCACTAAATATTTCCCCCTCTCTCCTTTCTGTTTTCTTCCTAATTAGTTCAGTTACAGGTGGCTTGTTTATTTTTCACAGCAGTAAAAGTGAAAATGTTGTTAAAAGACATGGAAAATGTTGCAGGTGAGAGTAAAAAAAACCCACTTAGCATTCAGAAATTAGCCTACTTACAGTCCTCCCTGCAGCTAACCTCTAATAACAGAAACCCTCAGTGAATACAGGCTACAGCAGAGCTGCTTCGTTATAAAACTGAGGTATATCTGCTGTCCTGGTTCAGTTTATTTCACAGAGAGGACAGAGCTCTGTTGATCAAGAAAAACATATTTATGCCCAAGATGCAATTTACTTAAAAAAACAGAACCATCGGGTCGTCGGGGATCTATTCTTGTTTTTCTGTTGTCTACAGAAAAACAAGAATTGCAATGAAATGATTAAATCCAGTTTTATAGCATGATAACAAATACTATATTACATTATTTATCACTATGATTTCCCCCTGCTTGGTACATATTAGAAATGGAAAAACTTACATCCCAACTGGGACCAAACACAAGCTACAGGAGTGAGCAGACAAAAGTGAATGATGGGAAAATCACACAGTCATCACTTATGTAGAAATACTGATGTTTGTGTTAAAAATACTCTGATGAAGTATGGCTTTAACTTCTTTGTCAAAGTAATAGTGAAAAAGACCTCGAAGTAAAAACCGTCTCTTTGCAGGATGTTTCTACCAGCTGTTTTATTTAGAAGCTGACTGGACCTCATTATTATCACAATGCTCAGTCTTTTGCACAGCCCACTGTCATTGTTGCACTTTTCTATTGCACTGCCTTGTGTCTGTGTCGTTCTGTTCTGGCCGGTGTTGAACTGTCTTTGTTTTGCTTTTTTGCAATTTTTGCAAAGTTCTGCACACTTGCACTTGATGTGGTCCTGTGTCGATTGTCTGTTTTGTTTTTAATTTTCAACAGAAGAAGTGGAGTACAGTAAACATAGTACATCAAAAACAAAATATCCAGATATGCCCGACCTCGATTGTCTGTAGCGCTATGGTCTTGGAGGAACGTTGTCTCGCTGCACTGTGTACTGTACCACTGCACATGATGGGAATGACAATAAAGCCACTTGACTTGATTATTAATTATTTAAAAAGGGAACATATTCCAACTTAACTTCTATTCCTAATGAATGTACTCAGCCCAAATAACAAAAAATGTGTTGAGGTCACGTTTTCAGGTTTTTCCACAGAATTCTGTAAGAGCAGAAGTCTTTATGCAAACACAGGTGTCGCCCCCTGGTGGCCATTAGAAAGAATAGGAGCTTAACCCCTTAACACCTGCCTATCATATATGATGCATACATTCTTACGAGTATTTGAGACTTCTAAAGGCCAAAAAAAAAAGAAAAAATAACTAAATAACTAATGATGTCGGTCTCCGGTGCGCTGCACTTTCAATACACCTTAAAGATACAGACAACTTTTATACTGTTCAGCTGGTCTGTCTTGATTTGTCAAACGTTTTATTACACTGTAGTCTAGTATTGCCATGACTGTTACTCTGAAGCTCCTATGGGTGTTTTGCCTCATCACTGCACGCCTCTGTTTCCCAGCAGAACGTGTACTACACCAGCTCCCAGCAGCTTCACCTGGGAGTGCTGAGTCCGACGATCGACGACGACGACAACAAGTGTCTGGTTGACGTGAACAGCAAACCCAGGCTTCTGGAGTGCAGCTACGGCACTACTAAGCACATGAAGCTCACCTGGACGTTCACTCAGGTGAGCTTTGAGCACGTATAAACAAAGATGGCCGACTGCAGCCAAACGACGCTACGTGGTTGTAACAAACCCCAGATGTGCACGCGTTCTGCCCGTTTCAGGGGCATCCTCTGAATGTTTCCAGGCTTTGATCTCCTTCCTTTGCTTTTTTGATATTCTGTATGTTGCTGTAACCTCCTGCTGCTTTTTGTCTGCTGGACCAAATCTCTGCGGATCCTATGCTCTTTCTTTTTTTATTCAATAATTGAGTGAGATTCGTGCTTCTTCCTCTCCACTTTGTCTCCGGCTCTTTAGAAGCACCCGTCCTGGTTTTGTTAGAGCACGGATCATTTTTCCTCTATTCTGTGCGATTTTAAAAGCACATCTACTTCCGTTGCATAATGAGCTTTCACACGTCCACAATTTCTGACTTTTAACAAGCCTCTTTTATTTTTATCTTCACACTTTTAATGCTGTCTTAAAATGTGACAGATAAGTAGAAGGAGCTGGATAATTAGTAAAAAGAAGACACTACTGCATTCACACCGTTGGCATCTGGTCTGTGTGCGCATTTGTAAGCTTCGTCTGTGTGTACGTGGACTGTTTTCATCCCAAACATCAGACTGAAGGTGGGGCGTATTTATCCATCATTCAGACCCGTCCTTTCCTCGATTCTCATCCAGTCTTCTGAAAGGCACAGTACCACCTCACCATCCAGTTTCCTGACTATCTGTAGTTTTACTACCAGGCACTCTGGCAGGGGAATCAACCCCTAATTAGCATCGGCCAGATTCAGAACTCTCACTCCCAACTTAAGTCAGAAGTCAAAGAGATGAAACCCATTAGGCACAACCCCGTGGGGGGTTCAAAAGAGAACTTGGATTTCTTCATAAAAAGTATGGTGTGGAAGTCAAATAAGGTCCCCAGAAATGTTAGGAAGTATAAAAACTTCAGAAGAGACGGAGAGGGCGAAACCTTAAACGTTCACTTCACCAGCTGATCACGTTTTTCAGGCCAGATTTTCCATCTCACTGAAAAAAGAGTTAAAAGTTAGCATAACAACAACTGTTACATCTTCTGATCCTCTTTCCATTAGCAGTAATGCACTCATTTGTTTACCAGTGATGAACTGGATATGGATTTGCACCAGTAATGGCCTCATTAAGAGTCGATAATATATTTGCAACTATAATAATTCTCAGTCCCACAAAGTTGAATTGCATAAAGTTATACATTTCTTGTACAAACAAATTTGCAGAAGAGAAAAGAGCTTTCCAGTTATCCTTAAAAAGTAACTTCCTTCTCCTTATTTGCTCCAAATAGAGAAATTATTCTATTGTCATTTCTTATGGAGATTTTACACTGAAAAACAATAAGTAATGTATATGTAATTACACTGGATCAGTAGTCATTGTCAGAAAACACCAAGCACCGCGTTTTAAATCCTGCAGTTCTTCTGGTGGCCTCGGTCACATCATCCTGGTTTCTAAACCGTTTCAGCCTTTATGGTTAAATTTCCTCTTTATGAGCTAATCAGAAGCTCATAACTGGATGTTTTGATGTGTCCAAGTAGTTTCAGCTTCAGTTTTGATGAGTAAAATTCTACTTTTCAGGCTTTACTCGCCCCAATCAACCACGGCAGATGGCCCCGCCCCTCCCTGAGCCTGGTTCTGCTGGAGATTTCTTCCTATTAAAAGGGAGTTTTTCCTTCCTGCTGTCGCCAGATCACTTGCTTATAGGGGGTCATATGATTGTTGGGGTTTCTCTGTTTTCTCTGTAGGGTCTTTACCTTACGATTTAAAGTGCCCTGAGACAACTGCTGTTGTGATTTTGCTGCTGATTTTAAATTTACTTAATACTAATATATCTGTGTCTGTGGATTGCACTCATATAGTTTATTGATATAATATGCTGTGAAGTTAGCAAGCTTTACCTGATGAGCTGCCTTTCTATTTCTATTTACTTTCTAAAAGGAGTAATCTGATTGTAATGAAACTTTGAAGCTTCAAAATATTCACAAACCTGGTATGTCCATCTTTTGTATACAGTCTCTGGATAAAGCATGAGATGTGTGTTTCTCTTCTCATAACTCCAGAAGTCATTCACAAAGTGACCAAATTTAACGCATCTGATAGGACAAAATGATACATAACACCATTTTACATCCAAAAGTAAAGTCTGGACAGACATGGATCTAAACCAACTGGACTAAATTCATGAAACTGAGATGCAGTAATTCTAATAACAGAACGATAGCCAATCTATTATTAATCTGGGAGTCAGATTAATAATAGATTGATTGTGTCTGAAAAATCAAAGCACTGAGCTACGCTTAAAACAAAAAAAATCTCTATTGAGGTAGCCTCAAAGTTTGATCAAAGATTTGTCCCATGACACGTAGTCAGAAAGCTACTTGTTAGAAATATTATTTTATTGCAGCTTTAGCTTCGAGCCATAACACATGCATGTTTTAGCTGTTTTTAAAAAAGTAATTAGAAAAACATGAGCAACATGTGCAAGTTACTGAAGAAGGTGCCCATCATGATTTCTGCTTATCAGCTCATGCTAGCAACCTAAGCTCAAGCTTGGATTATCCCACCATGTGTTTCACATCATTTTCATGTTAGAAACCACACTGTTGTTCTCGCCTCAGGGTGGACACTAATGCCCATTAGCTTTCAAAGTGAACTAACAGCTGTGGTTTCAGGATGTTTTTATTAGCAAAGAGGCTGCTGACATTTAGTCAGCATCAGAGCAGCACAGATACACGTTTATATGCATTTGTTATGTATTTTTGGTCTCTGAAATTGACAGTGTTGTTGCAGGAAAAGCTTAAAGAGTGTAGATTGTGCAGCTGACAAAGGGCTCTGGTTTGTGAAGTCTCCCCTCCTCAGAAGTACATGTTTAGACAAGGAGTGAGCAAGAGGAGGTATATAGAGAATCTCACAAGTGAACAAGTGCAAAATGAAGAAAAGAGATGAAAGAAAGAGACGAGGCGGGGCGAGAAAATAAAAGGAAAGAACGGCAGAGGCTTGTGGCAATGCTGGAAAGAAGCGAGGCGATGAAGCGAAGCAGAGACGGAGGGAGGCAGCAATTCATGTGAAGCGGCCAGTCAGTATTTGTGAATTATTGATAAGTAGATCTTTTACAATATTGAACTGAGCTTAACCCCAAGGCAGCAGCCATCAATACAGTGAAACAGAGCAAGAAGGTCTGGAAGAAAATCAAAAACTTCTGCCCGACAGCAGCCAGTGTTTTGTGATAAGGGTGAATTTTCTTACATCAGCTTTTTATTTTGTTGCTCTGCTTTTATTTGTCCCTTTATGGGCACCATTTACCTTAGGCTAACCCAGTAAAAAGTTTCATTTGGCAAAAGCTGAGCTGCTGGCCAACGTTCTTTAGGCTGACTGCACAGTAGAAGAGCAACAGCAGAGCGTTTCATCAGGCGGGCGGGCGGGCCGCTCTGAGAGCTTCCTGAGCGAGGCTTGTTCGCGTTCAGATGAAAGCGGAGACATCGAGAGAGTCGTTCTTAGAATCAGCCATCGTAAACTGTATCCATCCAAACTGAGAAGTGAACACAGGGCTGAAAATATGTACTAACAAACATAGTTGTCTTGATTAGTGTTTTCTGTCTGGTGCTCACTGATTTAGATCGTGGTGCATCTTTAGTGCAGAGTCGTACTGTTTAATCCAAGCCTGTGAAAGAGCTCAGTCATGTCGGATCATGTTCAGTTGATTACAGTCATTTATGACTCTGATGAGCAGCTCATTCTTTACTCTGTACAACAACAGCTGTAGTTTGGGTCACTAACATTTCACAAACTTTTCATTTAAAGGCTGTTTCTGGACTTATCTTATTGACATATTTGCAAAGTGGACCCACTAAGAATGCACTTTTTTCAGTGACCAGTTATAAGTCATTTCTAGCCTCCTTGTCTGCTCTCTGTATATTAATGCTGATTCATAACAAAAAAAATAAAGCATGTAAGGACCTCCAGTGCAGCTGTGCAGGTTTTCCAAGGGTCACTCGCAACACTTGATCAGGAAACCCTTCTTATCATATCTATATATTCTCTCAGGTACACATTTCCTGTGCACAGGGAAACCCCCTTTTCTTGTCATATTTAAGGCTGTGTGATTGTCGCAGTAAGTTGGGGATCCAAACGCAGGACACATGAATAACACCAAGATGAGAAAACAAGACAGTGACTCCAGAATCCAGAAAACAAGAGATTATACACGATCTGCAGCATGTAGCTATATGTGAATGTCTCAACAAAGCACAAGGGGACACTGAGACAATTCAAACAAAAGGTAATGAGGGAAGTGGGAGCAGGTGGGAAACAGCTGCAGACAACTAACCAAACGAGATGGGAAAGTAAAACTCGGCGTAAGACACAGAGCACACTTACCAAAAGACAAAAGACTAACACAAAGACAAGAGTGAAGGAAGGGAAAAGAAAGAAACATGAACCTCAAAAGCTTCTCAAACCCAGAAGGAAATATAGACCTAATAGAAAGACCAATCATAGACCTACCAAAGGGACTATGACAGTTTTAGCATAAATTCTGTGTGTGAGGAAGAACCAAAACCTGCTAAACCCCACATGAGGAGGATGGTGGACTGTTCGCTTGGGATTTAGCATCAAAACATTGGAGTTGTTTGTGTTACAGTGACTCTTTCACATTATCAGAATACTTAATAATCTCTGAGGAAATGATGAGATCGCTCTCTGCCTCTGACATTTACTTGGTTACAAAGTTACGTTTCCATTTTCACGTCATTTACATGTATGAGCCCAGCAATGGTGTCGAACCACTCTAGCTTTCAGGCTCCGCTCATCACTTTCAGCTGTTGGGGACTCCTGTTGGGTCTTCTGGACTAACCTGCAAAAAACTGATACTAAGGGAGTATCTGATGCATCACAACGTGAAGCTGACCCGACCCGTTATATGCTGACAACGTATGTATTTAGGAGTTGGGTGTGAAAACGGGTCGAACCTTTTTGTTAGATAAGTGA